GCTGCCCACCCGCCTGAGAGAGAGATGGTAAAGGGTGCGTGTGTTCACTGCGTGCCCGACACCCTGCAGGCCAACGGGGCTGCCGCGGCTGGGCTGAGTGGAGACACCCTGGCAACCAGCGGTCGGCAAACTCATTAGCCAACAGAGCCAGATATCGACAGCACAACGATTGACATTTCTTTGGAGAGCCAGATTTTTAAAACTTCTTCTAACGCCATTTCTTCAAAATAGACTCGCCCAGGCCGTGGTATTTCATGGGAGAGCCACACTCCAGGGGCCAAAGAGCCGCATGTGGCTCGCGAGCCGCAGTCTGCCGACCACGGGCCTAGACAGTCAGCTCCCGGAGCTGCCCTGGCCTTGCTGAAGGGAGCAGGAGCTGAGCCGGGCCAGGCGGAGGGAGCGATGTGCCATCCCAGCCTCTGCCAGAGACCGGCTCTTCCCACGGAACGTGGGCCCACATGAGGGCTTCCCCACGCCCGCCCGGCTGGCCGGGGCACAGACAGGGCCACGCACCCAGCCCTGGGGGGGGTGGGGAGGGGGCACGGCACCCCGGAGCCTGCCTTCCCTGCAGGCGAGGAGAACGGTTTGTTTCCGATGCGTGTCTCCTGAAAGATTAATGTCATTTCTGTGCCTTTAGCAAACTTCCTGTGTTGCTCTTAAAAAGGGACCATCCAGCTTCCCGGACCACAGGGTTAAGGTGACCCCGCTAGGTAACCCCGATAGGCCGGCCGCGGGGCACAGCGACAGAGAGAGAGAGAGTGAGGGCGAGGGCGAGGTAAGCACCCGGGAGCCCGGTGTCCCGCTCGCATGTCCTCCCTCGCCAGCGCGGTGTCCGGAGCCGATCCTTGCCTTTCTGTCCTCTCCCGCGGCTTTGAGGTCTTCAGGGAGCTCGGAGCGGGGCCTTCCGGGCCTCTTTGGGGCGCCCCTGCCCCCCAACAGCGGACGGTGCTTATGGGCCGAGGTGCCTCGCTCTGCCTGGAGGGGACGAGCTGGTGACGGGCAGGCCCTGCTGGGGGCAGGCGGGGGCGGGCAGCTCGCTGGACCCCCTCCTGACCTTGGTGGCTCAGAGTCTTTGCTGCGAGACTCGGACCCCCCAGATGACCGGCCACGTCAGCATTAGTGCCCCCCGCACGCCCCGGGGCTCGTGGGCATAGCGTGATGCGGGGGCCGACAGGGCAGCACGGAGTCCGATGGGAGCCGGGAGCCGCCTGCCGGGAGCCTGAGGTCAGGGGCTGCCCGGCCTGCGGTGGCCCCGCGCATGCGCCGGTGGCTGGCCGCTGAGCTTCCCGGCCCCAGGCCCCCCGGGGAGCGTGGCCCTGGGCCTGCTGGGGCCTTGTGGGTCCACTCGCTGCTTCCGCTGCCCGGGGCTCCTTCTCGGCTCAGGGCTCGCTCTGTCCGGCCGCCTGGAGGTGACGGGCTGGTGGCGGGCAGGCCCGCTTGGCTGGGTCGGCGGAGGGGCCAGGGTCACGGCTCGCTGTCTCCGCAGGGCCCCCTGCTGCGCTGGCTCAAGGTGAACTTCAGCGAAGCCTTCATCGCCTGGGTGCACCTCAAGGCGCTGCGTGTGTTTGTGGAGTCCGTGCTCAGGTGGGTCAGGAGGTGCCCGGCAGGCTGTCCGGGGTGGGGGGCCGGGCGCAGCAGCGCTGGGGCCATGGGGCTCCCCTCCTGCCTCCCCAGGCCCAGGACTTCCGGGGTCCGGTAAACCGCCCTCCGCCCGAGGCCCCCGCTGCCCGCTGCTCTGTCCCTTTCCTGCCAGCCCCGGCAGGTGCCTCCCGGTCCCCCGGCTGGCTCCCCCCAGCCCCCGGCCGCTAGCCACCAGGGCCTGGGGACCCTGCAGCACACCAGCCCCTCCCACCTTGACCTTGGAGCCCATCTCTCAAGGCCCCAGGGAAGTAAAACCCAAACCGAGCAAACCACCAGGACCAACACGTGGGACACTTAAAAAAAAAAAAGCGAGATAGGTTGCTCACCGTGGAGATTTTAGAAACGATAGATGAGCACAAATAAGTATCCTCTGAAGCTTGAACAGAGAGAGAACACGGCGAAGATGCAGTTTGTTCTTGGCGTTTTAAACGTGCAGATGTGCACAGGCCTATGTATTCATGGGAGTAGAATCACTGGGGACTATTTCTGAAGCCTGCTGTGGGTGCTGGCACCTGTGCCGTGTCCTGAACACACCCCGAGGTGCCCTCCAGCCCTCCCCCTGCACTCAGGTTGCCCAGATCCCCTCCCACCAGCCCCCTGGCTGCCCAAGCTCCTGCACTCCGGGTCCCGCCTTCCAGTGTAGGTTTCTGGGTAGGTGACTCCCTCCCTCCCAACCCCTTCCCCAGCGCCCTCTCTGCCAGCCAGTGCCCAGCCAGTGCTCAGCGTGGACTCCCCGCTCCCTCACCCCACGTCCTGCCCCGCGCCTCCACCCCGCACCCTTTCACAAACCTGCGTTTGCTTCCTCTCCGCTCTCTCCCGCCTCGGCTGGCCCGGCTGTTGCTGTGGGCTCCTACCCGGTTTGGCCCAGCTCATCCTCCCCGCGGCTGCCGAGGCGGTTCTGTCCGAACGCAGACGGAGCTGACCCTATCCTCCCCCTCCGCGTCTCAGAGGCTGGCGGCCGGCGATGACCCACCCGGCCCTGCCGCGGTGATGGGCGTCCCGGCGGCTGTGCGGCCTGAGCACTGTAAAAAGCCACGCTCAGAGCCGGGCCCTGGGAACGGTCCTCGCGGCCCCACGCCCACCCGTCCTCGGGGCGAATAGTTCCAAGTCTCCGTGTCCCCAACTGGGGTCACGGACACCTAAGCTTGTGCAGCTTGCCTTTTCCCTCTGCTCTGTATGTGCAGAGCTGCCAGGTCCTTCTTAAAAATCATTTTTACTGATGTCAGAGAGGGAGAGGGGGAGAGAAACATCAGTGATAAGAGGGAATCATCCATCATCTGCCTCCTGCACATCCCCCCCTGGGGATCAAACCCACAACCTGGACATGTGCCCTTGACCAGAAATCACCCTATGACCTCCTGGTTCGTAGGTCGATGCTCAGCCTGAGCCACAGCGGCCAGGCCCACCTGATCCTCTTCAAAGGCTTTTCACTTCCCAGCCTGTGGAGCGATCGTATCCGAGAAACTAGGCCAGCGGTCGGCAAACTCATTCGTCCACAGGGCCAAACATCAACAGGAAGACAATTGAAATTTTTTTTTGAGAGCCACATTTTTTAAAAATATATTTTATTGATTTTTTTACAGAGAGGAAGGGAGAGGGATAGAGAGTTAGAAACATCGATGAGAGAGAAACATCGACCAGCTGCCTCCTGCACAATCCCTACCGGGATGTGCCCGCAACCAAGGTCCATGCCCCTGACCGGAATCGAATCTGGGACCCTTCAGTCAGCAGGTGGATGCTCTATCCACTGAGCCAAACCAGTTTCAGCTGAGCGCCACATTTTTTAAACTTAAACTCTATAGGTGGGTACACTGTTATTAACTTAATGAAGGCACTCCTAAGCTGGCCTTTGCTCAACACTCAAGGGCCAAAGAGCCGCATGTGGCTCTCCATCAGGACCCGCTCTTAGTCCCGTCCAGCTCCCTGTCCCCACACTGGCCTCGGAGTAACCGCCTCACACCGCTTTCTGTCCGGGAAGGTACGGGCTCCCGGTGAATTTCCAGGCTGTGCTCCTCCAGCCTCACAAGAAGTCCTGCACCAAGCGCTTGCGCGAGGTCCTGAACTCCGTCTTCAGACACCTGGACGAGGTGGCAGCTGCCAGCATGCTGGACGTAGGTGCCCGACCGGACACAGCGCTGTCCGTCCGCAGCCCCTCCGCGGGGTGCGAGGGTCCCCACATGGCGGGGGAGGGGGGGAAGAGAGGTAGGCTGAGCAGGGCCGAGTATATGGTCAGAGTCTAGAGCTTCCTCAAAAAAGTAAAGACAAACCCGGACACTTGTTGGGCACTCAGTGCAGGCCGCCTTTTTGCAGGCGGCTGTGGACATCCCTGGGCTGCAACTCAGCAACCAAGACTACTACCCGTACGTGTACTTCCGCATCGACCTCAGCCTTCTCGACTAGCACGCCCAGCGGGGGCCGCGCAGCCCCTGCCCGCGGACGGCGTGCCGGACGCTCCTGTCCCTCCGCAGGACAGCCCGTCTCCTCAGGTCTTAGCTTTCCAGAGAAACTGCGCGCAGAAGTTGCTCACAGTTGTATTTATTTTTTGTAAGTTACAATAAAGAAGTGCTCGGTCCTTCCAATGGGCTCTTCCTTCCACCCTGACGTGACCCACACTGCCCTTCCCCGCACGTCTTACCTGGAGGGGGGCTGCTCAGAAGAGCCACCTGCTGCTTACGTCCTGTCTTCAGGGACACTGGGAGGACTAGGCAGCAACACGGAAAACCATGTGCGACTGTACAACCAGCTGCATTCCCTGCCGCCGCCGCTGGCGGCCCTCGCCGTGGGGCCTGCCCGCGGTCCTCCACGAGCCCGCTCTCCCCTCCCGGGCCTGGGGGCCTGGCTGCGGCCTGGGAGGGAGGTGCTGTGCGGGCATCCCGACGGCACCAGCCCCACACGTTCTTAGGAGGAGACATCAGGGCCAGCGGCACCACCGTATGCACTCGCTGGCTAACATCAGACTCCGAATGTGGGACTGGACACTCATTTCATACATTTGTTGGCATTGTCCAAAATATTATTTTATTCTTTCATGGAAAAGCCATTAATATTCAAATGAAAGAATCACATTAAAAAACTGACATAAGAAACAGCCTCCGAGAACACCCAGCAGTCAGAGGGGAAAGTGTGTCAACAGCCCAGCAGTTTCCTTCAAAACAGGACGTGACAGAACACCACCGGTCCACTGGCTACAATTCATAGAATTTTCCGTGTTTTCTTGAGATGCAGAGGTCCTGGTAGCAGAGTTTCCAATGACCAATCAGTGCTACTTCCTGGTGACAAGCTGGCCGCTGGCCTGATGGCAGGCACGTTCCTCCACCGCCGGCAACAGCCGCTCCCACGGAAGCACGGCAGCCGGCGCCTCACAGCTCGTCCTTCCCCAGGTCGTCCAGCTCCACGTCGCTGAGGTCAATGTCGTCTTCCACAGGAAGCTGCAAGACAGGATGTCAGCCCGCGCAGGCGCAGGCCCGCGGCCGGGGCTCAGCCCCCTCCGAGGAGGACCGCGGTGCTGGGCCACACCAGCTCTGCCCGACCCGGCCTATCGCCGCGGGGGTGAAGCGGAGAGCACGGGCACACGATTTACTGCCTCTTCAGCGCGGCCATGTCACAGCCGGGTCTCACATGCTGTAAGCAGGTGCCTGAATTCAGGTGACGCTCACCCCGGGGACTGTCTGGAGGCAGCACCTGTGGCTCTATCTCGGGCGTCTGCGTTAAGAGCACCCCATGCCACGTGGCCCTCGTTCACAGGACAGGGTGAGCCGTCCTGAGAGAGGGCCTCCTGAGGCTGTGCTGCCTCTGGTGTCAGGGGAGGGCTTGGGTCCGACGGGAAGGATTCGGTTCACGAGGAGCAAAGACGCGCAGGGACTGGGAAGGACAAGAGGACGGAGTCCCGCACACACAGCCTCCCGTCGCGTCCCGGGACTCACCTCGCCATCCTTGCCGTCCCACGGCTCTCTGGTGCTGATGGCGGGGAAAGCCCCGCCTCCTACCGGCGCCGTAGATCCTCGCCCAAAGGACAGCTCCCTTGGGGGAAACAGCAAACAGGCGCAGGCGTTACGGGACCGCGGTGCCGGAAGGGACAGCGGAGAGGACGGACGGCCTGCCGGGGCCCACACAGACCCCCCGCCCCCCAGGCCTGGAACCCGGCGGCTCGGCGTCCACAGGGCGGTGATTTAATGAATGGCACGTGTATTCTGCTCACACACACATCCTGTAAAACGACCCCCGCTGGGAGTTTAAGCCCAGAAAGGCCGCGGAGGACGGCAGTTCCCTTCCCCTCCTCGGAGCCACGCGAGCAGAGGCCCTGCCATGACAGGAGCCCCGACTCCGCAGGCCTCCTGGGACCGACCCCAGATAGGGACCCCCGGACAGAGCGAGCACTTCCCTCGCCGCGCGGCTTCAGGGGGACACGAGCCCCGCCTTGGGCAGGTGCCGAGAGAGACCGTCCCCGGGAGCCCACAGGCTGAGCACCGGCTGCTGAAAAGGAGCCCGAAGGTGCTCTGTGGAGGGCACGGGATGTGGGCCTGGAGAACCCCAAGCAGGCGCTCCCCGGGGGCGCCGCACAGCGCTGTCCGCACGGGGAGAACTGGGGCCTGCCATGAGCGCTGTTCACAGTGCACACCGTTCTGAAGTCACTACCCAACACCAACGCCCAGAAACGGAAACCGTGTCATCGAGGTCAGGCACAAAGCCCGCTCGGGGGAATGGGGAGACAGGCTGCTTCCGCCCAGAATCGGGAAGAGACTCGGGAAGAGTCCGATCTCAACGGCGCAGAAGGCCGAGGTGAACGGGAAGGATGGGCACCAGCTCTGCTGCAGAATCTTCCCGTGGGAAAGACAACGCGCAGGACGGGACCGGAGACTCCAACGTCAAGTACAAAATAATTCCACTGACTGCCTGCTCTACACGAGCCCAGCTTCGTCAAAACCCACAGCAAAAACAAAACAAAAACAACTCGAAAGGACAAAAGGTTACCTGAGAAACTCGTTAATGCCCTGCTCGCTGAAAGAGCCTTTCAGGAGAGCGAACTTCATCTTGCGTGCGTTGATGGCCGCCATGGCGGGGTAGCCAAAGCCCCCGATCCCCAGCGCGTTCTCCAGCTCTGACTGCGCGCCGGCCTCCGTCCACAGCCACCTGGGGAGGCAGACGGTGTCAGGGCACAGGCCCCTTCCCCTCAGTTAGTCCTAACTAGCGATCCTGATTAAAGAGCAGAGATTACACTTCAAATATTTTATGAAGTAAATAAGAACAAAGATAAGTTTTAAAAGCAACGTATTCTATATGTGCTCCTCAGTAATTCCAGTTTCTCCCTCATGTTTTCTAAACCCCAACTCCACCAGCCCCATGGTCTGTGTACCCCTAAGTTTCTCCCCACCTTGTCTCTAAAACACTGTCCTCAAAGCCTTGTACACATTCTGTCTTTGTTACCAGTATCATTTAGGTAATTATGTATGCATCACTTAGGCAATTATAACATATGTAATAATTACTTTTTAAAAAGTTACAATGTAATATCATTATCCAATGCATAGAGAGTGATGCAAAAGTAGGTTTACAGCTGTTCACATGGAAAATCTACAATAATTAGTAAATAATGCAAGAATAAATTGCTTCATGTCCTCACAAGTCTAAACCTACCTTTGCCCCACTACGTATAACCATGTTCAACCAACCGGCCAGCATGGCTCAGTGGCTGAGCGCTGACCTATGAACCAGAAGGTCACAGTTCAATTCCCGGTCAAGGGCACAGGCCCGGGCTGAGACTCAGTCCCCAGTGGGGGCCATGCAAGAGGCAGCCGATCCATGGTTCTCTCTCATCATTGATCTTTCTCCCTCCGCCTTTCTCTTCTCAGAAATCAATAAAACATATTTAATTTTAAAAAAAATGCTCAACCAAATTTCTTTGCTTAACTTCCACAAAGATGAAAATAGAAAATGAGAGGCGGCCCTCTCAGTCGGTAAACACAATACATGCTGATCGAACCAACAGAAAGTACAAAGCGCAGTGAGGTGGCAGCTGGGGACACGAGGTACACAGAGGGTGACCCAGGGGGACGGACGGCACCAAGGAGGAGGAGGAGAAGCCAGAGGTAGGGAGGGCAGAGGCTCCTTTGTTTAAACTGTGTCTAGGGCTGGCCGCTGCAGGGGAGCTCCAGAAGCAGCTGTCTCTGCCTCCTCACCTAGCCCTCAAGGCCATTCTAGAAGTCAACTATGTTACTAATTACACTTTTGCTTGCTAGCCGGGGACTCCAACCACCATCTAAACTACAATTCATATGAAAAAATGTGACCAACAGCTGCCTGATAAATAAGGAACCTGTATTACTTTTTTCTTCCTAAATGAACGGACATCGGAACCCGTGCTAAGAAGCCAGAGGAGCCACCCCCTCGGGAAGCACCCTCTGCTGCCCAGACGACAGGGACAAGGCTCCATCACTCACCCCCACATCTTCTTCTTGTACTTGTCTGCCAGCTTCAGGAGAACTTCCAAGTAAGAGTTTCTGCCTGCAGCTCCTGTTGGAAACACACACACAGAAGTTAAAGACACACTAGGGAGTGAGCAGCGCTTATGGCTTTAGGAAACGTCTCGGAGCGAGTTGTTCCTCGTACCCGTGTCCAGAATGTGGGGCAGGACGGCCACCACGCAGAGCTGGTGCTCCTCACACGTCTTCTTGGCGACGTCCTCACCGATGATCTGGGACCAGAGACAAAGACTGAGCACCACCCCTTCCGTTACGGAGCGGAGCAGAGCAGGAGTCTCCCGGTGACACGTCTGCTGCTCCAGAGCCCCGCCGGGGCCCTCAGCGGCTGGGTGGGGGCTGAGAACTCGCACAGTCTGGCACTGAATCGTGTCACATTTATATGAATTTGCAGCTCCTTGTGCCTCAGTTTCCCCATATGTTAAATGGAGATTAAAAGTAGTGTTTACTGCTAAGTGTTCATGTGAGCATTACGAGGAAAATCTACATGAAGCACAGAGCCCGCACACAGCTCAGTGCTCAGCAATGCCGGCTGCTCTTCTCGGCATGAGAAGGGAAGATCCACTCCATTGCTGAGCAGCTCAGCTACACCTGTTCTCACAGTGCAATCATCTTGGTGCTAAGGTTTAAAGTCCAGAAACACTTTGGAGAGGACTCTAGAGAGGAGCTCCTTCTGAAGAGGCCTCCCGCCCCCTCCCCGGGTGCCGGCCGCTGACCTCGAGCAGCTCCGGAGGCGGGGCGTTATCGGAAAACAGGTCCATCGCCCGGGAGACGATGTCGGATCTGGTCCGCCCCCCGTCATAGTCCACAGGAGACTCGCCTTTCTGGAATATCTTGATCGTAGGAAATCCCCTAATCTGTTAAAGACCAAACGAGCATTTAGCAGAAGCAAGGCAGTCTTTATGTTTCTGAAACCACCTTCCGGGTAATTTAATGGCTGCAGCGGAGTCCAAGAATGACACCAAGTCTGTAGGCGGGGGCTAACAGGCCGATTCAAGCCCTGGTCTGGAAGGCAGGGGTTCTGACGTGACCTATCTGCTCTACACAAGCGGACAACTCCACAGCCCTCCGGACGCCTGGACAAGCTTGGGGAGCTCCAGGCTCAGGTGCAGCCACAGAAACAGTGCCATATGGGGGGAAGCTCCCGTCCTGCCCCAGGTTCCCTGCACGTTAGCTCTAACGAGAAGGTGACTACAGAGGACCGACAGCCCCTCCCGCCTCCCGTGCAGGCCTGGGTTCTGGCGAAGCACGGTGGACGGCGTGATTTCAGAGCCTGATACATACCCCGTACCGGCCGGTCAGCATCTGGTTGGCCGTGGCATCCACCGCCGCCAGCTTCACCTTGCCTTTCGTTTGCTCTTTCACCTCCGTAGCCGCCGCGGCCCATTCCGGCTCGAGGCTGCGAACACACACCCTCATCTCAGCACCAGTACTGTACCTGAGGCCCAGGGGCGGCACACGTGGGAAACATGTTCCGCGTGGATTTCCAAAGACGTGCTGCGGCCTTCCGTCTGCTTCCAGTCCTTGGTCACCTCCTAATCTGCCTGCTTAGCTCAGTGTTAACCTTGGAAAATCTGCCAGAGGAAACTCCTAGCACTAATGCCAATGTGCTTCGTTCCTTAGAGCCAGAGCTTTCTGGGAGGTAATGGCTTCCTCTATGACCTGGTTCTGCTTTTCAAAGGAACTTACACACTCACTTATATGTGGACTCTAAACACACACACACACACACACACACACACACACACCCCAAGCTCCTCAACACAGGGAACAGACTGGTGGTTGCTACAGGCAGGTGGCGGGTGGGCAATGGACGAGGAGAGTGAAACACAAGAACAGAGACCCCACAGCGAGCCCGGTCACTGTCCTGAAAACTTGGTGCCTTACAGGACGTGGTTAGGAGCACTTACTTTTTGCAGTGTCCACACCAGGGGGCGTAAAACTCAACCATCCAAACGTCTTCACTGTCCAGAACGTTCTTGTCAAAGCTGTCGTCCGTCAGCTCGATCACATCTTTCTTACTTGAACTTTCACTTCGACCCTGTCATGTGACATCAAACATTACACCACACAGTGGCCAAAGGAACAGGACCCCCTTCTAAACACACCGAGGACAACATGCCTCTACATTTTAACGCTTTTTGAGTTTTTCTTTCCAGTAGAAACTACTTTCTCCAACGAGGGACACTGTGTAATACTATTTTGCTGGGTAGACAATACTTGGTTTCAAACAGTTACCTGCAGTACATTCGGTACTGCACAACAGGCATCTAATTCAGTCACTTGCGGTTTTTCTAAACTTCGGCCTAGCTCAGTCACCTTAACACCACCACTCTGACTCAGACCCAGCGCACCGGGTGCCCGGATGCTGCGCCTGGTGCCCCCTCAGTCTCTCCGGCCAAGAAAAAAAAGGACCCCCTCCCTCTCCAGCGCCTCCCTCTCCAGCGCCGCCCTCCCCAGCGCCCTCCTCCCCAGCACCCTCCTCTCCAGCGCCGCCCTCCCCAGCGCCCTCCTCTCCAGCGCCCACCCCGGGAACCGGGAGCTGCCTTGCTTCTGGCCAGGGCCACGGCCCGGCTGCTCACTTGTCAGGAAGAACCCATCGCCCTTCACAAGACCCTAAGCCCCTGACAGCTAAACGTCACCTCTCACCCAGGGCGTCTGACAGCCACAGAGCGGGCACTTCCTCCTCCTCTTCCCTGTGCGTTATGGAGAATCTCCCAGCTCGGGCTCACTGCCCCCGATTTGGGCCAAGAGGGCACCCCAATTCCACCTGTGCCGTCCATCCGGAGGAGCTGGCTCCCTCTCCTCTCTGTGCCACGTGAGGGTGGCCCTCTGCGCCCACTCCTCCCGGCCACGGGCCGAGGAAGCCCCTTTGGGGCTGGCTCCTGGCCCGTGGACGGCAGGGTGCGCTGGGACTGACTGGCTACCATGACGGTGGTTGAGATGGCCAAAGAGCAAGCGGGAGGGCTGACTTCCTCTGCTTCGGGGACCAACCTCCCGTTACGTTTTAAAGAAAGTGCCCCAATGTGCAGTATTTTAAAAGAAACCTATCTTCCGCCAGGCTGCCTCACGCTGCACAGGCATCACACAGAAAAGCCGGCGCCTCACCTGTTTCCCAGAACTGTAGCTCCTGCCCCCGAGGCGGTCCTTGACGAGCTGGCGCAGGGCACTGAGAGCGGCATCCACGATGGCGTCCGCAGTCCTGCCGCCTGCAGGGAGACAAGGCGTCGTCAAATGAGCCATCACTTACGCTTTAGCTACATCACGCCCAATATATATATTTTAAATATATTTTGTTAATTTTTTACATAGAGGAAGGGAGAGGGATAGAGAGTTAGAAACATCGATGAGAGAGAATCATCCATCAGCTGCCTCCTGCACATGTCCCACTGGGGATGAGCCCGCAACCAAGGTACATGCCCTTGACCGGAATCGAACCTGGGACCTTTCAGTCTGCAGGCCGACGCTCTATTCACTGAGCCAAACCGGTTTCGGTGTGCCCAATACTTTTTATTAGGATCCCACACATGGCCCAGCCTGGCCTCTCTGATGACCTTCCCTGTGATGATCCATCTGCCTGTGATACTTTAAATGAAATAGGACCACTGCACAGAAGAACCCACAGGGGAACTCAAGTAACATTTAGCTTTGAGAATCTGTTCTCAGTTGCCTGTGACTAAGACAGATACGATTTACATAGCGACAAGGCAGGGAGTTTGTAGTTACTTCTCAATAGTTTGGGAGTCTAAAAGCTTTAATACCCTATGTTAACAAGACAAAGGTTCATGGGCGAAATACTCCATGGAAACATGGACAGTTTAAACTGACTCTCAAATTACAAGCCTTCTCTCTGCCACATGGCTAAGCCAGACCCTCTCCTACAGTGAGAGGCAGAGAACTCACAGCAAGAAAACATTTGTAGCCCTGGCCGATGTGCTCAGTGGTTAGTGTGTCAGCTTGTGCACCAAGAATCCTGAGTTCAATCTCCTGCCTATCAGGGAATGTGCCAGAGGCAACCAATCAATGTGTCATGTGTCGCACACACTTTGATGTTTCTCTTTCTCCCCCTCTCTAAAAAAAAAAAAAAAATCAATGGGAAAAATATCCTCAGGAGAGGATTAACGAAAACAAATAAACAAAAAACCACTGGAAAATCTTTACCCAACATCAGTGCCTGTAGAGTATGAAGCAGCCAATCTTTTTTCGTTACAAAGAGAAAGACAAGGGAAGCACAGGACAGCACCGTGCTGCCACAGCAAAGGCCGCGTGGGCTCAGCGAGGGAAGCTAAGTGAATGATACAAACACTGCACCTGCCGGCACCCAGTGAGGCTTCAGAAGCACCCAGCAGAGGTGGGAATGCTGCGCACCGCAGGGCTCAGGAGGGTTAGGCACAAAGAGGAGAGGAGCAGGCTAGCAAGTTCCAGAATCCTAGTTTTCTCTTCTCCCTGCACCTGCTCCAATGAAAGTTCCAACCAGGGGAGGAGGTAGCCAAGTCCTTACCCTGGTAATCTTCCGGTCTGTTCTTGTTGGACCCAAAAATCTTGATGGTGGGGAATCCCTGCACTCCGTACTGACCGCCGAGGGACTGATGCTTGTCGGCGTCCACCGCGCCCACGCGCACCACCCCCTGCAGAAAGAGGACAGGACGGGCCATTGGCAGCTGAGCAGACGCCGCAAGAACCTGTCACCGCTTCCCGTGGAGAAAACGAGGACAGAGGCTTCACACACGGAGCCCACAGGCTCCCGGCGGGACACCGTTCCCGAGAGGAATGATGAAGGAAACAGAACTGACAGACAGACAACATAAAAACTAAAATGGACTTTACACCTTTGCTTTCTAGATCATTTTGGCATCAATACAAGGGTTTTGAGCTTTAATATGCAAATTAATTTCCTATTATGCATTCATTCATTAGCATGAATTGAAACATACACAAGTGAATGTGGACATCTCAAAAACTTACTTTTAATGCAGTTGCTACTTTCTTCCATTCTGGTGTTAACCGTTGGCAGTGGCCACACCTTTTAGGGGACAAAAACACAAATAAGGCAACAGTTAAAGTCTTTGATCCCTAATTCAAAAATTGCCCACCAACTGTCTGTCTACTGAGTGACAGGCCCGGGTGACGGCTGACAGAGTACAAGCAACGATAAAACAGGAACCTGGAGGAGCTCCCCTTCTGATGACTTTACTAAAATCCCGTTCATCTCATAATTTTAAAATGTTCCCTAATTACTGCTCAATTAAATCCCACTCAGTGTGAACGACTCCGCCCCAGAGAGCGTGTACACGCTGGAGCGTGTACCCGGTCTGTGAGCCTGACGCGTGGCTCAGCTGTGGGCAATGTGGCCGCACCCACTCCTCCAGCAGAGGGTCTGCCTGTGCCCGCACCGGGGCGCTGAGTGCGGTGCCAGAGGACTGGCACTGCGTTCCCGAACCCCGCCTCCCGGTCTTCCACAGGAAACAGGAAGCAGTGACGGAAAACCTCCCATCAGGCACACCGAACGCGCCCACCCAGGGAGGGTCTGCCTGGCGGTCCTGTGTGCGGCTGGAGGCACAGTTCACCCCGAGGGCCTCTCTGGGTCAGGTCACCACGCAGCTCGCCTGCAGTGCACTGGCCGGAGCCGGTCTCCTCCCAGGCACGCGGCCTCCGTTTCCGGCTGGGACACCGCTGACCCGCGCTATGCTTCTATCTGTTGGGGTTTTTTGTTTTCATTAAATGTTTTAACTATGTACTGTATTCTGACTATCATTGTTCACCATTAATTTCAATATAATTACATCTTCACCCCACGAGGGCTTTTGCCACGTGACTGTAAAGCAAGACAATGACTGTCCACGCGAACCAGGTGCCTCCTCACAGATCTCGGGAAGCAGCCTCTTCAGAACCAGCGGAGTCACTGGCCCTCCCCTCGCCCAATTCTGTCTTAGTGTCCCTCCTGCCCCTCTCATCCTCCTTATCACTGAAGATGAACCATCTTGAGTTATAAGTTTCGTTTCCTTTTCTTCTTTCTTGCATCATTAGCTACTTCACCCCCCCACACACACCCACACTCACAGACACACACACACTCGCACACACACACTCCTACACACACACTCACACACACACACCCCCTACAGACACACACACGGCCCTGTCTCCACGGCCTTTAATAAACACCCTTTGTGGCATCTCCCACGTCCACTTCTTCTAACAAGCAGTGAAGGAGGTAAACTAGATGCATTTTATATAGCGTTTTTCCTTCTAAAGCACCACAGATAACAGACAACTATAATATTTTAATACTCACCATGGAGCGAAGAACTCTACGAGCCACAAGCTGTTGCTCTGGATAACTTCCTGGTTGAAGTTTGACGGCGTCAGCTCGGTGACGTCATCGCTGGAGGAGTACAGCCCGCTCGCCGCGAGGAAGAGGGTGCAGCTCACCAGACCTGGGACCACCAGAGCCGTCAGACCAGAGCGTCAGCAGCGCTCCTGCTCCTGCTCCTGCCTGGGCCCTGCCCTCCCTGCGGCTGCTGGAGCCCCCAGAACCCTCCGCCCCCTGGCCCAATGCGCACTCTCACTGAAAACCATCCCCACGTCACTCTTGGTGCCCTCAGGCTCCATCCCCTGGGAGGTGGCACTGTTACTGCTGCTGTATGGGCAAGGGCGCTAACTCCTGGGGGCGGCACTCGCTGTGAGCCTGGGTAGCCCACCAGTACTTCGTCCTGTGCTATTCGGCTGCCATGTCAGCATGCCATCTTTACGAAGCCCTGATTTGTTTCCCCTACGAGACTGGGGCTCTCAGGGGCAGGGACCATTTTGGTGCCTTTATTTCCACTGCTCTCTCAGCTGGCACAGCACCAGCCCCCGCGATGCTGTGGGTGGGCTTACGAGGATGTCACGTGAGCAGTGGCATCAAGCCAACAGTGTATCGTGCTGTACCGGCGGCGTTCAGCCACACGGTGGACCGTGTATTTCTGTCCGTTACTCCAGGAACTCAATGCAATTTATAACTATATTAAAGAAAAAACAAAACCACAAGTTCTGAACCGACTTACAAATATTTTAAGAGCTCAAATCTTTTAAATTGGGATACTATCAAAATTTCTCCTCCTCTAAAATTCATATATGACTGTTTTCTAACTGCACTGTTTTTAAACAACATTAAATAAGAGGTTGTTCTTGATTTTAAGAGTCTGGCTTCCAGAGCTCTGCCTGTGGGAGTACACTGACCATCAGGGGCAGCTCCTGCATTGAGTGTCTGCCCCTGGTGGTCAGGGCACGTCATAGCAACCAGCTGTTCTGCAGTTCGGTAGATTTGCATATTACCCTTTTACTATATAGGACTAGAGGCTCCGTGCACAAAATTCATGCACTGGTGGTGTGTGTGTGTGTGTGTGTGTGTGTGTGTGTTGGGGGGTGTTCCTCAGCCCCACCTGTGCCCTCTCACAGTCCTGGAGTCCCGCGATGGACCACCTCAAAGAGGGAGGCCCTGCCCACCTGCCACAGCCCACTGATCGGCCCCTGACCAATCACATCGCACCGCCTTGGCTGGTCTGGCACCAGTGGGTGTCATAGCATGATTGTCCAGATGGTCGTCCGGCTGTTTGGCTGATTTGCATATTACGTTTTTTATCATTACAGATCACGTAGGATAGAGGTGTTGGATGTCTGTCTTTAAATTTGGCCTCGTTCCCACAAGAGCACCCCCGTACCCCAATATATGGCTATCCAGTGGAAATGCCTTAATGATAGAGCCTTGAGCTCTAACCTTATTACACGGCAGTTTGACCGGGAAGGGTTAGAAGGAAATCAAACATCATACTCAGAAAGACAGGGTAAAGGATGTATTAATCTCAACAGCAAAAACACAGCCAGCAACCACGCCACAGAAACCCTCAAGAAATCCAGAAACCCTGGGTCCACTTAAGACAAAGTAGGTCAGTGCTGACCACTAGTGTTCTCTCTCAAACTCACATCCCCTTCCACTCCCCAATAATGAGCACCGCTGGGAACTGGGGACCCCTGATGGGAACCCCGCACACCTGCGTGGCTGGCGCCTCTGTGAGCAGATGGTCCTGCCATCCTGCTCGCCCCGTTTCCTCCCCAGCAGCTGAGGATGCTATGTACCCCCATCAGCACCAACCCCATCCCCCCACCTGCCAGCAGCCCCCCAGAAAGGCTGGTCACATGGGTTAAAGAAACGGGCTTTCAGAATTACGTGTGGGCACCTGTTAAACAGGCCAAACTCCCCCACCTATGCTCCCTGCGAGCAATGCGGCAAACACGTCTGCATCCTGTTTGCTCCCTGCAGACGTGTTACATGAACGCTCAGGACAGCCCCACGGAGGCCTCGCCCGACACACAGCCACTCGTGCGGGGTAGGGCCGGGCTCAGACCCTGCGGCGGGGGATGGGGATGGGGATGGGGTTGAGGATGAGGATAGGGATGAGGATGGGGATAGGGATGAGGATGGGGATAGGGATGAGGATGGGGTTGAGGATGGAGATGGGGTTAGGGAAGGGGATGGGGATGAAGATAGGGAAGGGGAAGGGGATGGAGATGGGGTTAGGGAAGGGGAAGGGGAAAAGGACAAGGATGGGGTTGGGGACGGGGACCGGTGTAAGGAGGCGCCGGGGAAGGGCGGGGTCCTGGGCGCCGCTCCCGTGGTCTCTAAGGCCGGCATCCCCCTCCTCCAGGAAAGCCTGGGCTCCGTGTAGTCCCATTGGAGGGGCCCCGAGACCAGCTTTAGGGGGGCCCTTCCCGGCACGAGGCGACGCCGGGCCTGCGCTCTGGGGTTTATTTCCTTGGAAGCAGGAGCTCCATCCCACGAGGGGCGAGGACAGGCGGTGCGAGGAGCCCGTGCCCCCGTCCGCACTGGGGACCCAGGTCCCCGGGAGGCTGCAGCCCCAACCCCGGCCCCGGGCAGAGACCCAGCCCGGCCACCAGCGCCCGGCCGCCCGCCGCCCCTCCACCCGGGGCTCGGCGCTCGGACCCGGGCTCGCCGCTGCCCGGGCCCCGGCGCCCGGGTGCGAGCCCAGCCTCAGGCCTCCCGCCGCCGCCCCGCTCGCACCCGCACCCCCGGGGGGGGGGCTGCAACCCAGGCCGCCGGGCCGCACCGCCGCCCGAGGGCCCGCGCTGGGCTCCGGCCAGGCTCCCTTCCCGCCTCCCGGACCCCTCCACCCCGCGCCCCGGGCTCCACAGCCTCCCTCCGCGCCCGCGTGGGCCGGGCCCGGACCCCCACCGGCCCGGCCGGGCCAGGCCACGCGCCCGCCCGCCGCCCTGCCCGCGGCGGGCCCCGTGGGGGGTCGGGGCCCCCAAACGGCCCGGGACGCCAAGGCCGCGCTCACCGAGCACCAGGCGCGCCATGCCGAGCGTCCGCGCCGCCGCAGTCCAGCCGCCCGGCGCCGCGCCCCCGCCGCCTCGGCCCGCCCTCCGCCGCCAGGCCGCCCGAGCCGGCGGCGCGGAGGGGCGGCCGGAAGGCGCTCGCCAGCCGTGGCCGCGGCTCATTGGCCCCTGGAGGCTTCGCTCAGGCGCGCAGCCAATGGGAGGCGGCCGGGTAGAGGTTACGGGGCTGGTGGGTGATTTTTTTTAAAGGGGGCGGGGCGAGCGGCGGAAGGAGGGGCCTTAAGGGGCGCGCGGCCCGGTCCCTGCGTCCCGGGTGGCCCGCGCCTGCCGCCGCCCCGGGCCGGGTCTCTGGGGCCTTGTTTGCGGCCAGAAGTTGGTTTTTCCTTACTTCCGGGGCCCCTCTTCTCTCTGGACCCCCGCCCCTGGCCTCCAACGAGCCCCTTCCCAGCCCTGATGCCTCCCGGGCCTCCCACCCCTTCCCCTCTGTCTCCAGGGAGGGTGATTCTCTTTGGGCCTTGGGTGCCTCAGGCCCTTATGAAATGACATTGTTTTTTTTTTTTTTTCTTGTTCCGGGATGAGCTTTCTGATAGATCCTCCCCTCCTCCTGTTGATGGACAGACGTGAACCCCACCTGCAGCCAGACATTCCTGAGCAGTGAGCCACCAATCAGCACCTGCCAAATACCCTGGGGGGGCCCCCCCATTCCCAGGTCCCTAGGTCCCTGGTCATGGGCCTTGCATGAAACCACCAATCAGCGTATGCTGAGTGCCCTAAGCCCCGCCCCCTGTCCTCCCCTTAAAAAGTGCTTGGGTCCTGGGTCCTGTTTCTCTCTCTGGAAGCAGCCGGCAGTGGCACTCTTCTCTTCAATAAAGCCTGTGTCCTGGCATCCCGGTCCCCGGCCTTCTCCATTTCATCTATCACATTCAGTCCAAAAAGCACATGCTAAGCACATACTGTATGCAACGCGCGTCACCTAGAATTCCTTTTGTTGAATGACTTTAAAGTTTGTCTTGGCCGAAACCAGTTTGCTCAGTGGATAGAGTGTCGGCCTGCGGACTGAAAGGTTCAATTCCGGTCAAGGGCATGTACCTTGGTTGCGAGCACATCCCCAGCAGGGGGTGTGCAAGAGGCAGCTGATCGATGTTTCTAACTTTCTGTCCCTCTCCCTCTGTCTAAAAATATCGATAAAATGTAGTTTTTTAAAAAAGTTTGTCTTGTCCTGGGCACATGAGTGTGTAAGACCAGTTTCCCCCAAGCGGGGCTTAAGCTTCGGGGTTTCCTTCCTTGCCCTGGTGGATGGAGCCCTAGCAATGCCTTCACGGAGTCCTATGCCTTGTGAGATTTGCAGAAGTAAAATAGTTTCTGTATAATGGGGGAAGACAAAGGCATCTTCTCACTCTGGTTCCCGCCGATGTGCGGAGTAGACTTGAGCATCTTGTTGTAAGAGGAATCGTTTATTCCTCGGCATTGCTTAAGATAGAGCAGTTCTGATTCTGGCGCAACCCTTCATGAACACATTGGGGTCATGAAAATGTCAAGGAGTTGTTACCCATAAAAATTGGTGCATGAGCCGAAACCAGTTTGGCTCAGTGGATAGAGCATCGGCCTGCAGACTGAAAGGTCCCAGGTTCGATTCCGGTCAAGGGCATGTACCTTGGTTGCGGGCTCATCCCCAGTGGGGGGTGTGCAAGAGGCAGCTGATGGATGACTCTCATCAATGTTTCTAACTCTCTATCTCTCTCCCTTTCTCTCTGTAAAAAATCAGTAAAATATATTTTTTTAAAAATTGGTGCACGAGTATGTTTGTGTTAGCCCAGTGGTCGGCAAACTCATTCGTCAACAGAGCCAAATACCAACAGGACAACGATTTCTAGCGCCCAGAAGAAGCCGTTGAAAAGATAACTAGCACCAAGCTTTGCCATCATGGATTAATTTTGCCGACCCGGGCACTTTCTACAACAGAACCAATCCGTACGGACTGTGTCCGCCTCTTTCCCGCAGAGCCATGTGGGGGTGCTGGCCCATGAATGGCTGGCTGCGCCCGCTGTGTGGATGGACCACAGCCTGCGTGTTCTCCTGGTGGACACGGGTAGGTCCCACCCCCTGGCGGGCTGGCGCGGTGCGGTAGTTAACAGACCAGACGCACGCCTTTCGGTCGGGGCCCCAGCTATTTTCGGGGTGCTGTGAGTGCCTGGTGGCCTTTGGCTAACAGTCTACATCGCGGCTCCAACCAACACAAACCATTCGGTGGAGTGGAGGAGGGCGGAGCCGGCCCATCCTTCCCCAGCTGGTCCCTGGGCCCGCCTCCCTGCTGGCCACTTTTAACACCACTGAGAGTTCTAAGAACAAAAGATTTGAGATGAAAACCTTCTGAAGGACTACACTTCTTGAGTCCTAGACCTTTGGTTACCTTGAGCATGGGTCTGTGGGTGCTTGGGAAGTGGGAACAGCGTGTCCCGGAGTGGGGTGATATGAGGCCATGTCACCAAGTCCCCTTGGCCTTGGCGGGGCTGATCAAACACCGGCTCCAGGCCGCTGCTCCTGGAAAAAACCGAAGGGACAAGAGGAACAGTCCCGCAGGACAGGCCCTTCCCTTGGCTGATCAAAGGCTCGGTCGCCGAGCAGAAAGGAACGCACGGAGGACGTAAGGGGGTGGAAGGCACAGCCCGGAAACCTTAGTGTGTGTGTGTGTGTGTGTGTGTTTTTTTTCCTAAGACAATGAACAGAATTAGTAACGCAAATTCCCACCGTGCTTCCTAGTTAATAACAATAATGATAAAATAAAATAACTATGCTAGCCCCCAGAATGTTTTAAAGCTGGGTTGGGGGTGAGGATGTTGATGAATAAACTGGAAAAGTTTCTCTTCCTTCCATTTCCTTAGAATTCTTTCCTCCTATAAGTCGGTTACTGCGGCTCCTGCTGGTCACTCAGAGTCTTTCCCTTCATGTAGCACCACTTCCATCCGAGAGGAGAGGAGAGGAGAGGAGGGGAGGGGAGGGGAGGGGAGGGGAGGGGAGGGGAGGGGAGGGGAGGGGAGGGGAGGGGAGGGGAGGGGAGGGGAGGGGAGGGGAGGGGAGGGGAGAGGAGAGGAGAGGAGAGGAGAGGAGAGGAGAGGAGAGGAGAGGAGAGGAAGGCAGGTGGGCTGCACTAGCAGTTCCTTGGGGGACAATCATTGTTGTTATTATTGTCATTAGGTAGGAGCAAAGGCCCAGAGGCAGGGAAGTGCACGGCCTTATCTCTCAGTGCCATCACGTTTCCTTTCTTTTTTTAAAAAATAATATTTTTATTGGTTTCAGAAAGGAAGGGAGAGGGAGAAGGAGAGAGAGCTAGAAACAGCAATGATGAGAAAGAATCATCGATCCACTGCCTCCTGCACGCCCCACACGGGGGATGGAGCCCGCAACTTGGGAATGTGCCCTGGCCAGGAATCGAACTGTGACCTTCTGGTTCATGGGCCGATGTTCAACCATTAAGCCACGCCGGCCAGGCCAGCATTTTCCCTTAAAACTGTACGTGCATGTTATTATCACAGTTACCACCTGCTGCTGCTTCCTGTGTGTTAGCACAATGCCAAACTCAACCCCTGCCTGTCCCAACGCCTCCTGCGCCTCCGCCTTAGGGCCCTGCTTAGATTTCAAGTCTTCGGCGTCTTCCTTGACCACACACTCTAGGTTGGCACCCTGCCCTGGCTCCGTGATTTTCCCGGGAAGCCCTTGCTTTTCTCCTTATTAGCAATTTTATCAGCTCCGTGTGGCTGCGGTGACACATTGCCACAAACTTCATGGCTTAAAACCATGCACACGTATCACCTGCCAATTCTGTAGGGTAGAACTAGGGCGACACTCGAGGTCTCTCAGCCCTGTGCTCCTTCCTGGGGGCTCTGGTGTGTGTGTGTGTGTGTGTGTGTGTGTGTGTGTGTGTGAGGGGGCTGTTTTCTGGGCTTTTCCTGCTTCTAGAGATGCCTGCAACCCTTGCCGCGCAGCCCCTTCCTCCATCTTCAAAGCCGACGATGCCCTGCTGAGTCCTTCCTTCTCGTGCCCGCCTCTGTTCTCCCTCCCACCTCCCTCTTCCACTTTAAGGACCTTGTGATTCCAGGGCCGAGGCCAATTACCCAGGATGCTCCCCCCACATTAAGGTCAGCTGACCTGCATCTGACCTGCAATTCCCTTCTGCCTTATAACAAAGCAATGGGACATGGACATCTCGGGGGGAAGGGCCCATTATCCCGCCTGCTAGAGGCCAATCCCAGCAGTCTTAAATGCAGAAAGTTCATCAAAAGGTTGATGAGCCTTGGGGCTTCCGCAGAGCTGAAGATCTGCCGGTTATTACCTGCTGCTGAACAGCTGTAGGCAGTTCCCCCAACCTGATAATGCCAAACCTTACCTTTTTTTTTTTTTTTTTTTTTTTTTAAATATATTCCATTAGTTTTTACAAAGAGGAAGAGAGAGGCATAGAGAGTTGGAAACATCAATGAGAGAGAATCATCGACCGGCTGCCTTTTGCACAACCTACTGGGGATGTGCCTGCAACCAAGGTACATGCTCTTGACCAGAATCAAACCTGGGACCTTTCAGTCCGCAGGCCGATGCTCTATCCACTGGGTCAAACTGGTTTCAGCCAAACCTTACCTTTGATATGTTTAACTGCTTTGCTATAGGGAAAAATGTGGGAATAGAAATCCTTGGGCCCGGAGATTCAGAGAACTTAGCTACTAAAGCTAAGCCTTCCTTGGCTCCCCCACAAAATGCCTTCCACATTTATATTTCCTGCCTAGTCTCTTCATCAATTTACTCGCAGCCTCTTCTCCAGATTCCTGAACCCCTCTAGTTGCTGAGAACGACATTATCTGGCTGGCATTCCCCGCCCACCATGGTAATCACCACCACTTATAACTATTTACTTGCCCATTTCCTTTTGTCTGAGTTGTGGCGATCTGTGTCATTGCTGCTCCCACTGTACTGCTGTGACTGGCCCAGTGCTGACCCCAGCGGCCACTCAGTGTCTGCAGTGAGTGAAGGGT